ATGGGAGCTACGCCACGAAGAGTTAAAGTTACTTTTATTTCACCGGCAGCAAATTTTATGACAAGTAAGAAAATATTTTCCATTTCATTTCAATTATCTTGCCAGAAACTGGTGGAAAAGTCATTATGCCACCGCATAAAGAGGAGAGAAAGCCAGGACGCAGTAGTGATTGATTGTCATGGATTATATTTCTTACTTTAATGTGTCTGCAATGTGAGGGGACGGTGAGATGGATTAGCTTTTGGAGGAGCTCCTGCTAACTGGATTGTGCTTGTTTATTCCCAGCTCCCCAGATGGACGCTGCTGTAAGTGCCGAGCGTGCCGGGGGCGGCAGCGGGGCTGTGCATCTCCCATGTATCTCTGCCCGCTGCTGCCCAGCATCTTGGCAATTCTGCCAAACCCCTTTTTTTTTGTCCCATACCCCAAGAAAATCGCTTAACCTTGAAGCCAACAGCCTGCCTGATGCTCCCCATCGCTCCCCATCCTCCTGCCCTTTGAGTTTCCACGCTCATCCAGGAGGCCCTGCTTTGCACCCTGGCACCGGCGGGTTTTGCCGACTCTCAAGAACGTCTCCAGAATTCCCGTGCGCAGCCAAGGCGGCCTCTTTCCCACGGTGGCATCTCCTCTCTCCTCCCTGCCCCACGCCAGAGCCGAGCCAGCCCGGCTGGGCTGCCCTCCCGCCGGGTGGAGGAAGCACCCCGCTCGCCGGAAACTTTGTCTTCTTATCAAGAAGGTACTCAAATAGAAATAAATGCCCCCCAAATAATAGAAAAAGCAATAAAAGCCATATGTGCCTCCAGGCTCCTGCCAAGACGGTTATAAAGTCTCTACTGTTCCTCGAAAAACAGGGTGCGTGCCAGCAGCGGGGGGAAGAGGCTGTTAACCCCTGGAGGGGAGGTTTTCTCGGAGCCCGCAGCGCAGAGGCATTGCCGCAGCCTTGGAAGTGTTATCCAGCGCACCGGTCCTCGGCTCCCACGGCCTGATGGAGGATGGAGTCCGTCGGTATTTCTGAAAGCCCTTCACAACGCCTGACGGGCGGGCAAGCGAAGCACGAGGTCAGAGGAGGGCAAAGACGTTCCCGTGGTGGAACTGCACGCTGATGCTCCCGGCGCCCGGCATCACTGCATCCTCTGCGGCCGTGGGGCAGCGGCTTCTCTGGCTGGCCCAGGAGTCCTCTGGGAACAGCAGGACGGGGGAGGCTGGAAGTTCCTAACGCTCAAAAATATAAACCAAGGGGAATGAAGCCTTTTAAAGAACAAAAAGCCCTTCAAGCTTCCTTCATGCAACCGGAGAATGGAAAAAATCTTTAAAGAAGCCTTGTTCCTCTGAGGGGTGGCCTTGGACACAGTGCTGCCCTCTGCACAGCAGCATCTGTGCCGGCCGGCACCGCCGGCGAGTGAAGGCAATGAGTCAGCTAACGAGGGGCTCGTCACGGCCTCACAGGGGGACATATTTCAACGATTTGTGAGCAAGTGTCATTGTTAGCCCTATAAAACATCTCACAGCTCTCTGAGCAGCACGGATCCAGCGAAGCCCAAATGGGCTAGCTGGCCACTGCGCTGGCAAAAGTAATTCTTTGTAAATGGAGAGGCACTCGAAGGTAAGGTGCCACCCGGGATCCTACCCTCCTAGAAATTATTTACAGCACTGTGTGCATTTTGTCAGTCAAAACCAGCAGCCTTCCAGCCATTTTAGGCTTCAGACTATTTTTACCATACCATAAAATCCATTGACAGACATATATCTTTGCAAAAGCCTCCTGCTGACTAACAGGAGCTGCTCATGGCTGCCAAGGTGCACATCGCTCTTCTAACTTTTAAGCAGGGGCGAAGGTACCCGGCAGTTACCGCCTGACTGACCAGTTCTGCACCCAGGCTTCCTCCAGTGATTGCAAAATGAGGGATACTGATGCTGAAAACATTGCTAAGAAGCTTTGAACGCCCTGATGGGGAGGGATGTGCAAGGACCAGGGGACTGTGAAAAGGGGTTTAGGTTGGGACTGCAGGCAGAGCCCCTGCCCCTCGCCGGGACATTGCTGCGGGGCCATGGTGATCCTTCCCCAGCTCCGCGGCCATCCCAGGGGACAAACAGGGCTTTCCCATTCCTGTGCCTCCATCACTCCCCCGCTGCCCTGTGGACTTGAGGGGTTTTGCTTTGCTTCCACATGACACCATTTGATTTAGGAAACGAGACTCCCCAAGGCTCACTCTCGCCGCACCAGCAGGATCATTTTTGCGCTTCAAATAGCATCTGCCACTACTCATCCTCTCAGGGTCAGGCATCTGCAGAGACTGGAGGGCTGCTGGGCTGGCTGAGTGCAGTGAGCACCTGCGAGGAGGAGGGGGCTGCTCCCCCCCGGTGCTGCTCACCCCGGCTCCCCACAGGGATGAGTGCCACTGGGAAGCCGGCTGCTACGCCCCAAAGCTCTTCAGCAGCCCTCGAGGAGGTCTTTGATCCGCAGGCAATCCCTGATCTCCTTGAGGCAGAGAGAGGCTTTTACCTCTCCTTTTCCAGGAAAAACAGAAGGTGCTGAGATGGAGCAAGCAAGCTGGGGACACAGTGATGGAGCAAGCGAGCCGGGGATGCAGTGATGGAGCAAGAAAGACGGGGACACAGAGATGGAGCAAGCGAGCCAGGGACGCAGTGATGGAGCAAGCGAGCCAGGGACACAGTGATGGAGCAAGCGAGCCAGGGACAGGGGAAAGCGAGGTCCCATGGGCTCAGGACTTCAGTCCAGCCTGGGACATAAACAGGCTCATGCCACAGAAAACACCGCAAAGGCTGAGCCATGGCAAAGCTCCTGGTGCAAGTGTGGAATGAGCACCTTCTCCCAGGCTTAACACACACGTTCCCCCGCAGCCTGGCCCCATCCTGCCCGTCTTCCCAGCCCTGGTGCCTGCGAGCTGCCTCTCCTTGTGCTATACAATCATCCTGGCTCAGAGCCGGGGCGCGGGGTAGCAGCCAGCCCCGTGGCAGGGTACCCAGCACCAGGGGTCAGGTGCCCAGCACCAGCCCACTTGCCCACCAGCTGGCATGTGAAATTGGGTGGGGGGCTCAGCCAACCCCCGTGTGGTTTTGTCCCTCACAGGTTTACGACATGGAGCACACGTTCTTCAGCCACGGTGAAAAGAAGAAGATTGTGATGGAGATCGACCCGCTGGCCAGGACAGAGACCTTCAGGAGTGGGAACGGCAGCGAGGAAATCCTGGAGATCCATGACTTCAAAAACGTGAGTGCGGCAGCATTTGTCCCCGGGAGCCTGCCTGCCATCTTGCAGCAGGACAGACGGGATCCCCTAGGACACCGCAGGGGTGCTGGAGCAAGACCTAGGATGATCAGGGAGCACAGTGCCCATATGCAGACTCTCTAGGGATGCTCTCAAAGGAAAGGAGATGTGTATCTACATAAGCTTCCACCGGTATTTAATAGTGGCGTGGTTCAGTTCCAGTGAAATACATCTTAAAAGCAAGACCTAGTTATTGGATTTACCCTTGCAAAGGAACGCAATCATCATAAATCTATCCGAGCCCAGTACATTTGTCTGTCTGGAGAGCATTAAAAACTCGTGACAATGTTGTAGGCTCTCTCTGAAACCTAATTT